AAACAAGACAAAGTCAGAGACAGCCTAGTGAAACTATATGATACACTCTGGGATCAATGTGAACCAGCAATGAAGAATAAGATCAAGGCGCAACCGCAATACAACACAGCGATGGAAGAATCAGACGTGATAGGTCTACTAAACATCATCGACTTCATCTGTATCAATAATGACAACACAAAATGTTTTGAACTACAGAGCTTCTTTGCCGAAAAGCGAATCCTTAATTTCCGACAGCGTGATGATCAAGAAGCAGCGGACTATTTCAAAGAGTTTGAAATGTTATTGCGTGTCGCAGAGCAGACAGGAACTAACTTTGCAACACCGCATAGATGTGAACACACAGCTCAAGTAACCTACAGAAAATCACTGAATGAACTGAGTCCCCTCCAACAACTTGATGTAAAGGAAAAGACAAGGGAACAATACATAGCTATGATATTCATGATGAACTCAAGCAGGACTAAATACGGCAAATACAAGGAAGAATGCCATAACAGCTTTGCCCAGAAGGATGATAAATATCCCAAGACACTAGCAGATGCACTTACTGTCCTTGAACAGTATCGGTTCAACCCAATTTTCTACAGGACCAATGATAAAGGAAAATCTAACGGAAATGACCAAATCAACCAACCATCACACAGCTTCTACCAGGATGCTAACAACGATACTAATGAAGATGGAGCAATTTACCACGGTGGGAATAACGAGAGTACTAACAGTAATAGCTCCAATGTTATCACCTGTTTTAACTGTGGTAGGCAGGGTCATATATCCCCGAATTGCACTTATACACATAAAGAAAATGGTGATCTAACACCGAAAGAATACAAAAGAAGGAAAGGAAAGGAGCAAGATAAGGAATACGCGAAGAATGAAGTGAAGAAAGTGGCGACAGGAGTGACATGTGTAGTAACGGATGAGATGATCGACTCATGGTCAGACCACTTATCGGCTGATGATTATGCACCATGCTTCCTGCAACAGAGCAGAATGAAAAAAATAATCATTGAGGATCTCACTAACAACAAGACTGCAGTACTAAACTCAGTGGAAGGAAGACTGAATCCATTTTGGATACTTCTTGACAACCAGTCGACCGTACATGTATTCTTCAATGCACTGTTCCTGAAGAATATACGTAAGACCAACAAGGAACTCCACTTGCACACCAATGCTGGAAAATCAATCATCAATGAAATAGGGGAACTGCTGGGATTTGGTACTGTCTGGCTGTACAGGAAAGGGATAGCAAATATATTATCGTTCCACGGAGTGCGGAAGATGAGAGGATACGAAATCACGTATGACAGCAAGATATCTAATACATTCAATGTAACCAAGCCAGATGGAAGTGCGAGGCAGTTCATACCATCTAAGAAAGGATTGTATTACTCAGATTTCTCGGATGTGTTTAGAAGGGAAAACAGGATACAACCCAACACACAGCGTGAGATATTATTACAGAATGAATCTATTGTTACGATAGACGATAACAAAGCAAAATACTCGAAACAGGATGTTAAGCGTGCTGAACAAGCACGATTATTCCAACACATAGCAGGCCACCTGAGTGACAAACAACTCATGCGGATTGCGAGTAAACATCAACTTTGGAACCTGCCAATCATACCGAGAGATGTTAAGTTAATGAATGCCATACTAGGACCAAGTGTTCCGGGGATAAAAGGGAAATCAACGCGTCGAACCAAGCCATCGATTATAACAGATGAGATTCCCGTCCCCGCACACATCAAAGAATACTACCAAGAGCTCACCATGGCAATGGATGTCATGCATATCAATGGAATTCCATTCCTCACCACAACAACCCGGCACATCCATTACCACACTGCGAGTGCACTACCAACCATGCAAGACCAAAATTTAATCGCTGCGATACAAGCGTTACAACAATTTTACAGGAAGAGGAACTTCCACATCAAATACATTCTCGCTGACGGACAGTTTAAATCATGCACACACCCAATTGCAAGCATGGGAATTGATCTTAACTGCGTGTCGCGCGATGAACATGTTCCAGAAGCAGAAAGACTCAACAGAACTATCAAGGAAAGATGCCGCTGCAATGCCCATATGGTTCCATTCAAGAAGATGCCTAAGAGGATGATAATCGGACTAGTTAAGAATGTCATCTTCTATCTGAATGCGTTCCCTCACCAGGATGGCGTCTCCAGTGAACTGTCTCCGTATACTATCATCACTGGCAAAACGCTTGATTACAACCTTCACTTCAAAATCCCATTTGGTGCATACGCCCTCACAAGAGAACCAACAGATAACACACTTAAGACCAGAGCCACCGGCGCAATAGCCTTGGGACCAAACATGAACATACAAGGTGGGGTCACATTTTTTAGCCTAACTACTGGTCGCAAACTGCACCGTAGCCTAAACGATTTCACCATGGCCCCAATGCCAACAGATGCAATCCAACGGATCGAGGACATGGCCTCCTCATCCCCCAATGGACTTACATTTATGGACCGAAATAATAATCCCATCGTGGACGCTGCAGTATATGCCCACGATACTCTCCACGATAACAACGCAGTACACACGCTCACTGAACAGGAAGCTATCACTACTAATCATATTGCTCCATTACAGCAACAGATTACAGGAGTGGAACCAAACACAATCACAACCAAACTAAACACACCTAACACAACAAATGACAATGACACCAACGAGAACAACAACGACAATGCAATGGCCGCTACTCCCGACAAAGACGACTCTCTCGGCGAGGACGACCAGGACTTACACGACAATAATGAAAACAACCATGACAATGATACCGACAACACTGAAGAAAACAACAATGACGAAACCCAATCTGACAATGAAGAACTAGAAATTACAGGAGTGCCGGACCCACCTATTCCACGTCGATCGGAACGGATCCGTAACACCGGAACCTTGACCCGACCAATGGAGGAACACTTTGAGTTCCAACACTTCCAACATGAAACAACAGACAGAACCGAAACTATAACACGAATAACAACAGTCAATGAATACCAAAACTATATCAACGCATTGGAGTACATTGACCACCAAACAAAGAAAGACCAGCTCATAAACGACCTCGTACTGACACAATATAGCCTGAAAACCGGACTAAAGAAATTTGGGGAGGATGGTCGTAAAGCAACAATGAAAGAACTAACACAAATGCTCACGCGAAAAGTATTCAGTGAAATAGAATATGAATCACTCACGGATGAGGACAAAAGACTTGCACTACAGATACTCCTCTTCTTAACGTTAAAGAGAGATGGTCACACAGTGAAAGGACGCGCATGTGCAGACGGCCGAAACCAGAAACTTTGGACCCCAAAACATGAATCAGCCTCACCAACGATTGCAATCGAAGCTTTATTCTTTACACTAATCGTGGATGCACAAGAAAAGAGAGACGTAGCAACATGTGACTTACCAGGACATTTCCTACAGACAGACATGGAGGGAGATATTATCTTAAGACTGGATGGGCCACTAGCCCTACTGCTTGCTAAGATTGATCGAGCTAGATGGAAGCCACATATACGAATGGAGAAGAAGAGACCAGTCATTTACGTAAGATGCGACAAAGCAATATATGGAACTGTAACTGCAGCACTACTATCATATAAGAAACTAATAGGACACCTCAGTGATTGGGGTTTTGAAATGAATCCATATGAACCATGCTGCTGGAACAAAGAGATCAACGGAGACCAATGCACAGTGGTCTTTCACGTAGACGACATGAAAATAAGCCACAAAGATCCACAAACAGTCAGTGATATTATTAAATTACTGGAGTCAATCTATGCAAAGGAAGACCCAATGACAATCAATCGCGGACGAACTCACCAGTACTTGGGAATGACCATTCACTTCACTGAAACAAGCGAAGTGAAGATAACGATGTATGACTACATCCAAAAGATGATCAATATACTGCCTACTGATATGATAGGACACAAGGACACGGCAGCACCAATACACTTGTTTTTAACCAAAGAAGGAACAACAAAACTATCACCGGGACTAGCAGAAACATTCCACTCAATAACTGCACAGACTTTATGGTTGAGCAGACGGGCAAGACCAGACTGACAGCTGGCAACAGCATTCTTAAGCACACGAGTGAAAGAACCGGATGAACACGATTACAAGAAACTAAAGCATCTAATGATGTACATGCAAAAGACTGCACACTTACCACTAATACTGAAGGCAGACGGAAAAGGAACATCCCTCTATATAGACGGGGCACATGCCGTGCATGCCGATATGAAAGGACATGGAGGTCTATACGCTACGATGGGATCAGGGGCACTATATGCCTCATCGACAAAGAGCAAAATCAACACTCTCAGCTCAACTGAAACAGAGATGGTATCAGTGGGGGAAAAATTACCCAAACACCTTTGGCTGAGACAGTTTGCAACTGAACAGACTGGAGACGACTCACAGATACATGTACTATATCAGGACAACAAGAGCACAATCCTCTTACAAAACAATGGAAGACTATCGTGCCGTAAAGGATCAAAACATATACATGTCCGATACTTCTTTATTACGGACCGAATAAAGAACAAAGAAATAGAGGTCCGATACTGCCCAACAGACAGGATGATAGCGGACTTCTTCACTAAACCGCTACAAGGAGGATTATTTCGAAGATTCAGGAACATGATTCTTGGCATAAGGGATGAAGATATGAAACGATATAAGGAAGAATACATAACAGCAATAAAGACATTCGGTCTAGATGAAGGCTCAACACCATCACCAAGCCCGCAGGAGTGTGTTGTGAAACAATGAAGAAATAAAAGTTGATGATTAAGGATAAGGATTACTGTATACCCAATACTACAATTCACCACGATGAAGAACAGAACAACAACAACGTCAGAATTAAAATACTCATACTCTTTAATTTATCTATTAGTGAAACAGTTATTCAATCTCATCTAATCTCTGGTCGGCAACTGCAAGAAGGAGCGAGACCATTGTCTCCTGGCTTGACCGGAGGATCAACAGGGGGCGCGCGCTAATATTGGCGCATTCCTGCTACAACCATTGCACCCGACGTTATGTGTAGTACGTTCTCCGACGACACCCTTTTTTTTTTGAGATATAAAAAATGCAAGAACCTTTTACGAGGAGATACGGTACGATCAGCTGTATCGGTACCAGTACTCGTACTTCCATGTTGCACCGATTGACAGGTAGTGTCGGATTTCAGAGGATCCGCACCGTACCGTACGGTGGGCACCGGTAGTGAATGTTAACCTAGCAAGTTATTCAATATCCAAATTGTGGCAATTTCGGACTGCCTACTTTGAGGAGGACCACAGGAGCGCTGTGCGTTTTTCGTCAGACGGATCGATCGTTCACAACCCGAGCACCAAGAGTCCTGRAATCGATAACCAGCTAGACTTATCGTAACAACAGAACGCTGGAAGTCGTCGTCAAATCCATTATGGTTAGCAAGCGAAGAATAAGCCGAGGCATTGCGAGCGGCAAAAAGAGGGCTAGGAAGCCCGACCAAGTGGAGAAGGAAGATGACGAAGAATTCCCCGAGGAGGAACAGGCTCTGACGATCGACACTACAAATGAATGTGCTCCCGATGACAACGGTGGTGATCWCGATGAGAGCAATGAGGGGGACGAAGAGGAAGAAGAGGAGCGCAAAAACAAATATGAGGTTCGTCAACGAGTACTGGCCCGCGACGAGGACGGGATTCTCTACTACGCAACTGTCCGACGCAAACTCTATGGACTCAATCAACAAAAGACAATTTCGTGCCTGGGGATTTTCGACATTTCTCCGGAAGACATATTGGAAACCAGTGGGACCAMCAATTCTAAAGAAGGGAATGGAGAAGAGGGCGAGAATGACAAAAAGACTCAGGACAGCGAGCAATCCGAATGGCACTATTTTGTTCATTACGAAGGATGGAAGACTATTTGGGATCGTTGGGTTTCGGAAAATTATATTTGGGAAGTCACACCGGACAACATCGAACGAATGAAAGAAATTTCGAGGTCCCATAAAGCCMTTCAACTCGAGTTCAAGGAAAAAACGAAAGCACGAAAGATTAAAAATGCGGGTCTCTTCCTCCAGCAGTGGAAACTGCGATTGGATGCTCTCAACCGCCGATGGGATGAGAAAGAAACCCAAACCAATAGTGACAATGAGAGCAAGGAGAAGGAACGCGCCAAGAAATTGGCGGCGGCAAAGCGGCGTAGGCAGGAAGCGAAGAAAAAGAAAGGCAAATCACCGCAAGAAGTTTTGCGCGATCAATCCAACCTTGCGGTCCAATCCTGCCTCGTCAATCGACAGGCGTCACATATCCAAGCCATACCACTTTCGTTTGGACTCAAGAGAATTTTGGTAGAAGACTGGGAAAACTTGAACAACAGTAACTATACTGCTAAGAAGAGTGGCGATGGGGGCGATGCCACAGACGAAGCCAAAAACTTGGACATGGTACACATCCTTCCCGCTAAGGTCACGATTCGCGATGCCCTGAGCTTGTATCTGAAGGAGAAAGGGATCTCATGGRACGGGAATGATAGAGATAAATCGAGCACAGGCAAATCAAGAGCTGACCAAAACAGTGAAGAAAAGAGCACAGAAGTTGGTGATGTAGCTATGGAAAAGACTGACGAGAMGAATCCTACGGGMTTAGAAGAGAATTCGGAACRAAATGTCGCGGTAGAAGATGCTTCCGGCGTGGATTCGGCGCACAATGATATGGGAAGTAACAATGGAAAAGGAATGTCAGACGAGCTTGTTAAGGAATGGACAGACATGGCCGAAGGCATCGTTCTATACTTTGAACAGGCGTTGATGACTCGTCTTTTGTACCCCTCCGAAACATCCCAGATTCTTGTCTTGGAAGACAATCTTCTGGAAGGCAAAAACGATGAAAGTACAAACAAGAGCCCTGCAATGTTGCCACCGAAGGTAGATATTTACGGTTGTGAACACTTGCTTCGCCTCCTGTCTGCTCTCCCACGGATTCTAGATCAACAGTTGCAAGAATCCAGAGAGAAAAAACTAGGTCRAGACCGAGTCAGAGAAAACAAGGTTGGCGTGGGAGAAGATGGTCCGAAGACCGAAGATTGTCCCAACGGYGACGACGAAGATGCCGACCAGGATGCATTTGCCGAAATTGGAAGTATGATTCTCGCCAAGCTACAGGACTTGGCGCGTTTCTTGCAAAAAAATCAGACAACGCTCTTCGGATCCATGTACAGACGAAAGAATGAACAAGAAATCAAGCGCGATTTGAAAATCCAGAAGCGGCAGGAGCGTCGCCTTCGGAATGCAATGGCAATGGCGACACCCCTAAACAGTGTCCAGCAATTGGAGGACCAAGGATCTTGCAAAGTTGAACCAACAGATGATGAAAACTTGCGTACGATTGGAAATTGATTTCCCATTTAATACAGAAAAAGGCTGTGTGGCAACCAGCTTGTGATAATTGATAACAACATTGTTATTACTTGTTTTTATTYWACCCACTGAAAAAAATGACGTCTTGTTTCGTCTTGAGAAAGAGAAATTATTTTTAATCAACACAATGGTTTTCGCGATAGAGAAATTCATCTCTCCTTTCATTAAATATTTGTTTGCGWTTAGGGCAAGCCCCAAACTTGCCACACCGCATCTAATATAAATCTGAAAGTCCTGCATCCAGTGCAAGAAGACTAATTTATTCGTTCAGGTTTCATTTCATTTCATTTTGTTCCCCGTTTGTAGAAAAGAAAGAAAAAGAGAGCGCTTTAACCATATGAAGCTAGCTGCTCGATTGTTTGCTTTTTTTAATAGCTGGTTTTCGTTTCTCTCAGCATCCGTACTACCCAAGGATGCTTGGGAACGTCCTTCAAGGGAATTCGCAGGTGGGGATCCTTCACCAGGAATTTTCGGATCAAATCCTTAGCATCTTCGGACACTTCTGGTTTGGCTGGAAATCTTAAATCAACACGTGAGATCCTTCTGTAAGTCGCTGAGTGGCCTTCGGCTTCAAAGGGCGGTCCACCGTACAAGAATTCAAAGAGCAAAACACCGAGACTCCAGACATCGACAAATTTGTCATGCTCTCGTCCTTCGACCATTTCCGGAGGAAGGTAATCCAACGTCCCACACAAAGTATTTCTTCTGGAGGTTGGTGCGTGGACCGACCAGCCAAAGTCTGCAATCTTTATCTCGCCGTGAGCTCCCAGCAAAAGGTTCTCGGGCTTGATGTCTCGATGTATAACGTGCTTGGTGTGACAAAAGTCCAAAGCCGTTGCCAAATCGGAAATGTATCTGGCAGAAGATCGCTCCGAAAAGTGGACCTTTTGCACCAGGCGTTTGTAAAGTTCGCCACCCGGTGAGTATTCAAGAATTAAATAAATCCGTTTCGAATCGTAAAAGTATCCATACATGCGGAGAATATTGCTATGTCTCAGATGTGACTGAATTTCAATTTCTCGTCGAAGTTGATGTTCTACGCCTGCCTTGAGAAGCTGGGATTTGTAAAGTACCTTTATGGCAACAATATACTTCGATTGTTTTTCTCTCGCGAGATAAACAGAACCAAACTTGCCTCGACCTAGCGGCTTTCCGATCTCAAAATCGTTCAGAGCCCATTTCTTTCCCTGCCGTGCTCTTTGGGCCATCTCATCGTCGGGAGAAAATCCGTCTGATATTCCTGAAAGAGGAGATGGTTTGTCGAAGCTGTGCGTATGTTTCTGGTGATGTGCATTCCAAGGACGCGACGCCGTTGTCGGTTGGTGGAACCGAGAATTTTCTTTATCCATATTTGCGTTGTTGTGTTCCTTTTGATAGCGATTTGATATTCAGTTAGTAAGTTGGTCTTTGTTTTACTGCGAGGTAGTTCTGATCTTGTAGTGTTGTGCGTTCGAAGTTACCGTGCTCTATSAGGAAATACCCAACTTGAGATTGGAGAGAGAGAGTTTTGTGTCACGAAACGGTGGTCTCGGTGATGGTCAGTATCCTGCTTGTTGCGCGTTTCTTGGTGTTCGAAAAATTKTATTCACCGATGGTTTCGATGTTGTCGAGCGAACTGGCGATAGAGCCAGGTTTTTCCCGCGAAATCCAGTCGCCAAAGGCGCAGAACTGGCAGCCGTTATTGCTCGCATTTGAATCTGTATATTATCATTCTAATGAATTGTGGAAAAGCCATACTTTCTTTCAAGAACCTTGCAGGCGCGAGTAAGACAAAAATTTTGATTCCGTATTCATACGTTTCTATCATATGTTYATATGTTGAAGTATTCGACAACTGCMACAAGCAACAAGCAACAAGCAACTGAGACAATTTGAATCCGCTAATCCGCTCAACGASAAGCATTGTTTTTTACCGAACCTCTGCGAATCGTTGGTGTTCATTCGGAACACTTTTTATCGTGATTTTTTTTAGTTTGTTCCGACTCAAAACAGACACTTTTTGCAAGTGCCAACAATCGAAGTAATTGAACAATGGGAGCTGTCCACGGAGTGTACCTAAAATATGTTGGCCTTTCAGCCCTCTCGTTCATGGGCTACAACATGCTGGATCCCGATGGCAGATCTTCGGATGGATCTACCATCTCTGCGACATCGCCGGCATCGGTAGAAGATAGGGCCACTCATCAAGCCTTGGTGATGGGCATGATTCCCCGCCTTGTCTTGGGATACTCTGCTGTGATTAATGGTGTCATTGCTATATTGTTCAAATCTGAACGAGGAATGCGAATTATAGGCAAAGACCAAACAAAAGGGAAGATTCCACTTTGGAGTTACCTGGTATTTTTTCCCTTTCATTTGCCTACCATTTTGTATACGCATGTGCATACTTTAACTGGCAAATCTCACAACCCACCCGTGCCTGTTGCTACCGAAGTTCAGCCTGGATGGTGGGTAGGGGGATGCTATGGACACGAACTCAACATGGATTGGGGGGGTGTCGTCGATTTGACGGTAGAATTTCCGGAATCCTGCAGGAACCGCACAAAATCTTATCTGAGTGCTCCGACCTGGGATGGGGTGCCTCTGAATCCGGCCGGTCTCGAGGCGGCGGCTACCTTTGCTGTGGAAGCCAGAAAGAGCGGACATGTGATGGTGCATTGTGCTCATGGACGGGGTCGATCTACGACGGTCATGTGTGCGTGCTTAGTTAAGGCCGGTCTCTTCGATAACTGGAAAGACGCCTTTGAAAAGGGAATCAAGCCGCAAAGACCCGTCTGCAAACTTAACAAACGGATGCGAGAAAACCTCGAAGCTTGGCAGAAAGAATATGTGGATAGCAAGAAGTCGATATGAACAGAAATACCATAAAATCTATTGTCGAGTACCGTTCTCGAGCAAGAAATGGTACTSGAATACTACCACGTTGTTTTGAAAACAAGAATACAGAAGCGCGAGAGGTCGTGATACTCGTGGCTGCGATGACTATTAATCTTTTGAATAGAAAACAAAATCTGTATCAACACAATCAATTAGGTTTCACTCGTCCAAAAGAGTTTTTCGGAAGGTTTGCGGTGCTCAATTTTGTTTGAATACTTCGTATTATTTTTGTAAGGTACACTACACACTAATTGGAGTGGACAACTTCATCAGACTCTCAATGGAAATCTATTGCTACTTTATTTTTCTGGCTGAAGTCCCTCTTCTACAACACCACACCGACGAACTTGATTGGATTCGTCGGATAGGATTCAGGTCTCATTAGTTGGTTGGTTTAATCTTATGATCCACGCAATATATTACATCATGATTCTCTATAGTTCGATTATRCTATGCTCAAATTGTATTTTATTTTCATGCAAGTCATTCATTGGTTAGTACAGTAATATGTAAAGACTGAAGCAATGGTGGACAAAAATTTTCGCGTCCTTTATATACTTCATGCTGTTGTGACGCACAAACGTCGGGAACCATGAGTTGACCAAGTCTATTGTCAATCTATTCCCAAGGGCTCAAAATGTGAGGTTGTAGTCTTATTGCACATGCAGTCGATGAGCCACAAGTGTCATCACGAACTTTGGGTCCGATATTTTGGGTATTTGGAAGAAGGATGGCGACTTTATTTCAGCTKTTTATATCGCGTCCATTTTATTCTTTGCAAGTACTGCCTCGAGACTTTCGATGATCACATTGGCCAAAYCATTAAAGTCTTCGTCTTCCCACATCAAGGGCATTCGGCAGTCGCAAGCACGCGACAACATTTCTGCGGTTTGMGGCAAAGGGTCTTCAGCTGGAGCGAATCCCCAGTTCACAAAATTTCTTGCGTTCGACTTGTGYCCGAACAGTTCCACGGGAAGACCATGGGAACCACATTCGTCGATAAAGTCTTGCGTCATTTCCTCGGTAAAGATTTCTCCCAAGTTGAATTGAATGGAATCATGTACCATTCTGGTGACTCCGGGGGTCAATTTCGGAACGTACAAATGTTTTCCTACACTGCTGGATTCGAGTTTATCTACAACCATGTAGTACCGCCTGTTGTACTTTTCGATACGTTCTTCCAGAGTGCCGACTTGGGGGCGAATAACAGCAGCTGCCAAGTTGCTCATTCGGATCGAATAATTGGGGTGTTTGACGGACAATCCCTTGAAAGCCTCGGGAGGTGGGACTGTAGTGTGCTTTACCGAAAGTCCTTCATAGGCACCCGCGATAGTGGCGGTTTGGGCAGCAATACTAGGATCATCCGTCAACAAAAATCCACCCTCACCGGAGTTAATCATTTTATAACTCTGACTACTAATGGCACATGCCACCCCCTTGTGGCCAGAGTGTTCACCCTGCCAAAATACTCCCAACGAATGGGCAGCATCTTCTAGCAAAATGGCATCGTACTTGTCGCAAAGATCCTTTACGGCATCCATATCGGCTAGCTTTCCTCGCATGTGAGAAATCAAAACGTGGCCGCAGTCGGGATTTTCCTTTAATTTCAATTCCAAGTCCGCAACGTCCATGACGTGGTCCTTGTTGGACTCGACGTACACAGCCTTTCCATTCGCATGCTCAATGGCAGATGGAACCGCTCCAAATGTGAAAGCATTCGACAAAACTTTGCCACCAGGCTTCAGACCAGTCGTCTTCAGCAACAACATCAATGCGGATCCACACGAGTTGAGTCCAACACAGTACTTGAAGCCAGTGTAGTCACAGATTTCTTTCTCGCAAATGGAAACAGCCGATTCTTCGCCAGGGCCAGTGTTATATCTGTAGAGACGCCCGGTTTGCATAAGTTCCAGGGCTGCCTCTTGGCCTTCGACAGGAATAGGATCGGGCATCTTGATATCCTTTGTCACGCGTGTTCTTTGAAGCCTGAGGAATGATACAGAAAAGAGCCAAGTAAGAAAAATAGCATATGAAAATGATGATCGACAATAACAGAGTTCGCTTGCTTCTGGAGAGWGAGTTCGACGTACACCTGAACTTTTTGTCCATTCTTGACCGGACTCGTGAGCAAGGCATCGGTGCTAACTGCAAGGGCGGCGAGGGCTAGGGGAAGGAACTTCATTGYTGCGTCTTCTACTGTGGTCTATTTTTTTATGATGTTCGATTCGGGTTCTTGCAATTATGCAGAAAAGCTGGTTGAAGCAAAAAGGGTGCAAAGAATACCTTTTCGATTTCGGCGGGATGAAAAGAAGAAAGCAACTGGTCACGTAATGCCGACTGATTTCGGGTATCTCACAGCATCATCGTACATTTTAGAAGCGCATTTTCGAAGGGATACGCGGATTTCGGTGAAACGTGTCTTCAAATATAATTCCCTACGTGTGTTTTGGCCAATCAGAACTTCTCACGTCACGAGACAACCGAGAAAGTGAAGGAAGATCAATGGTGCCTTAAATTTTTTACCACGTTTCTAAAGATTAAAGAAAATCGTGTGGTTGGTGATGACGTTTGACGTTTACAACAGTTACACAAATTTGATTTTAAAAAATTGGCTTCGCCCAACCCCCCCCCTCCACTCTTCCATATCCACGGTGTCGCTGCAGCCGGGGTCCGCAGGGTCATGCCTGCAATGCCAAGGTCTAGGTCCCGGATTCGACCATCAGGTTCCGAAATAAAGTGATCAACTCATATCATATGGTACATATATACCTTCCAATACTAAGAGATCACAAAACCGCTTTTTCCAGTACTCGTACGCGGTAAACAATCCGGGAGCACCGAAATTCGTGCCAGTACGGTACTGTACAATGTTACTGTACATGTCAAGGCGTATGAACCTTTCCCATTGCTATCCAAAAATGAAATGTGCTCTTACCGGTAAGAGTGCCAGATGCGTTGACCCAGTCCCCTATTTCACTACATGCATTACATTATTTCAACATCTATGTCAGAACATCCATCGTAGATTGCCGGACATAGTCTGAAGTAAAGTTTAGAAGTGGGGAGGAGCGAGGGAATATAATTCTATTTACGGAAACTTGGACTTCGAAAATTGAAAACACGACTACCTTTTTGYGATTTAATTTGTACGATGAGATAAGTCAATCGGGACGAAGGCGACAAACGAAACAGCATGGATTCCCGTTACAACATCATTGCCGATGACGAGAAGCCTTYGACCAGTTTCATGCTAAATAATGATGAGAATCATCTACTGTCGCGTATTGCTCCTAGTGGGAGTTCGATTGAGTCGTTGACGTCACCACTCGAGGTGGAAGAGGACGAAGGTACCAACGAGGATTCCGTTTCTTCATCCTCTTCCGTATCCTCGCAATCTTTGGACTTGAATCCAAATTCTACCATCGACGAGTTGGATCTCCCTGGAATTGCCCTTTTGAAGGAGATTTTTCCAGAAGAAACGACAGATGCTTTGAGAGAGTTGCATTATCAGAACATTATTGCTAACCAAACGTCGTCGTCTTCGATATCGCAATCTGCATCKTCTATAAAAGTAGAAGGAACAGCAAAGTCCTATGACGAARGTTATCAAGAAACAGTCCGAGGAGATCGAGAACACCATCAAATGCGACAACAGCAAAAACCCAAATTTCGTCACAGGAATGCAAATATCACTGAACTTCCCGACGAGGATTTTTTACGCCTGCCAAAATCGGTAGCTGTTCTTCGAGAACGGAAAAGTGTAGGAAGCGAYAACGGTCACGATGTACGTACMTATGAATTAATACACGATTTAGAATCTCGGGCTATGCAAGAATACAAGTTGGCAGCGAGAACAGCGATGCCGTCATTGTCATCATCCTTCAGTCAAACAAAAAATCCAGGACGACATCACATAGAATACAATACATACGTCGTGGATAGAGATCAAAGCCTGGGTTTGGGGATGACTCTGCAAGAAATAGTTGAAGAAGGTGACCACCTGCGTGAGCAGCAACAGCAATACGGAGATCCTGATTCYCATGCCATGCCTGGACACATARTGATCCGGTTTGGCTTGATGGTGGTTGGATTCATTCCCGATTCAAAAAAGATCCAGAAAGGAGAGGTTACCAATAATTTTCCTAGCAGTCCGGCCGAAACTGCCGGAATCTTGTGTGGCGATGTCCTCATTGGAATCAACGGTACTGCCTTCGTAATGCAAGTCCCACTATCTTCATCCTTCWCTGTCGATAGGCAGAGCGATGAGTATAAAATTCAAAAGCAAAAAGTGATTCAGCTAATACAAAACTCACCAACCCCGGTAGTCCTTCATATCCGAAGACACCGACAACGATTGTCGGGGCCGACACCAGTGACGACAGATGAAACAGAATCGATTGGAAAGTCATTTAGCGAGCGCAGCGTCACTTCTTTGCTCGATACAACTACATTCGATTTTGACGAAGGTAAATTTGATCCGCTGCATGCTCAGCGAGGGAGTTTCGGGAAATCATTACYCATCCAACTCGTCAAAGAAGATTACCCACCTCAACGACAAGAACCGAACCAAGTTCCGCCGACGAGTTATTCCCGATCATTGCACCCTTCGTCCTCCTCTGCCTTTCACAAACCTTCACCATCTCGAACTCCACGTAGAATATCGTCTAACTTGGTGCGACATCCTCTCTCGATTGAATTAGCACGACTAAAACTGATTAGTTGTGGAGAAGATGAGTGGCGTATCACTCGACGATTGCAACAATTTACAGATCGGACTCGGCAGTGGGAATCGTCGAACTCCCTTCGAATTGCCGTTTCCGGAAGAGCACCTGGCAGCAAAAGGGGATCTCTCGTTCCCCTTTTCGATCCAAACGATTTACCACCTGATATGGCAGCTTTGATGGTGTTTACGCAAGAAAACTTTGTAAAGGGAGAAGAAATACAACATCAAGATACGGAGGCTCGTGCCCTTGCAGCGGACAGCGACAAATTTAAGGAGCATCAAGGAGTSCAAAATTATGAACAATCTCACCCACAAACTTATATACATGCAGAAGCATGCACGCGATCAACTCCACCGTTACCCTTGGATTCTCCTTTGATTCCGTTTGAATATCTTCAGGCTTTTTGTGGGTATGAGAAAGCTCAAGAAATACGGTCAGTACCTCCTTCAGCTACTCCATCTACTTTAGACAGAAAATTCGCACCAAGACGATTGTTTTGGCCCCAGGGGTCATTTGAGGAACATAGTACAAGCCAACATCCCCGGAATGATACCACGCACTTGGAGGATGTTGTTTGGATTCCMTTGCATGGGATCCGAAAATCTTTAAGTGCTCGAATCCTCAACAGTTTTGTGGAAGTTAGCGAACCAAACAACGACAGCAACAATGTATCGCGCATCGCATACACAATATGGGTATATGATGTAGAAACGGGTCGTGAATGGTATGCTCCTATTCGATATTGGGAAGATTTTTCTGATTTACGTGATGCTGCTTTGGAATTACTTCCGTCGAGTTCGGATGTTTACAAGGAGATGCTGAACATGAAATCTTTGAAAGAACCTACTATTCCAGGTGACAGAAAAGCTGGGTGGGGGGCCTCAGTCTTTGGCAGTCCGTCACTTTCTTCATCTATGTCACCGTCACAAAAACGGCGCCGGCAGAGGAGAAATGAGGAGTTCGACGATTCACGTCAACAAACTTGTCAGTATCTGGAAGAATTTCTCCGAGAACTCATAGGAATTGTCTACACATGCAACCCTCTGCATCCGAATACTGCGGAGATCGCTTTGTATGTGCAGTCGTTCTTAGGAGTAGATGCAGGTTTAGAGGATGGCAATGTACCTATCTCATATGAACGTACGTTCAATAGCACTTCGGAACGCATAGAAGATGAAACCAGACAGCTATTAAAACGTAGTATCCAAAGGTATTCRTGGCGAATTTTCTTGTTGCATACAATGAATGCAATTGTGAGAGATTTTGTTTACGCAGCACGGGCTCGAGGGCCCAAACTACACGAGATTGAATCGATTGAGAACGGAAATGGAACGTCTTTGAAAACACGAGCAATGAATGAGCTGCTACAAATTCGGAAGTTTTTGGACCAATTAGTTGATTTGATTCTGGATAGCTGTAACGATGACCTTCGATCAATAGCAAAGCGTCAAGAGTATTCTGCGATCCATAAGTATTTCGTCGACGAGAGTTATTGGGAAAGACTTGTCAGGTGAGTCCGTAACAAGGTATTGATCGCGATAATGCAATTTACGTTGGTTTTTCTTTAAATTTGGAGGATCTATATTCTTGTACGTCATGGTCATGTTCTAAACTCTTTGGACCTGCTCGTTGCTCTAGAGAATCTGTTCGTGAGCAAGTCGAGATCGAAGTGTATGTTCCTCTACGGAGCGTAGTCTCAAGACTTCTCGTAAATGGTTGGCGGAATGATGATATGGAGGTACTATTTAAAATAAAGGTAAATGGAATGGGAAGAATCAGTACTGCTCTCTTGTTAATTATTTTCTGGAGAAGGTGCCCAATCTTACTCGTRTCTCGTCTGCATGTTTCTTCGCTACGAAGGAGCTTCGAAAACGGCCACAAGGGATGTTTCGGATTAACAAGATYAGCCCTTCTCATTGGCAATCAGTTGCTAATATATTAAAACAAGGAGTGGGAATGAGTACTCTTCCGTGCGTGAAACTCCGAGCTATTGTGGATGCTGCTAAAGAAGTATCACAATTGTATGGAAGGGAACATTCTGAGCAAAATTTGCTGGGTGCTGATGAATTCCTACCCATTTTCATCTTCTGCGTCGTACGAGCAGAAATGGAACGTCCGTGCGCTCTCAGTAAGTCCTTTCTTCCGTTCTTGTCTCGATGGATTGCATTCCTTTTTTGTATTTTTCCTGATTTGCTTGTGTTAATGGCTGGTTCTTCAGGCATTCTATTGCAAAATCTGTGCGATCGGATCAATCGAATTGGAGAGATAGGTTATTTTCTTGCTTCTTTCGAGGCTGCCATAGCTCATATACAGGAGATTGACCTGACAGAAGATAGAGAAGACATGTTGTCGTTTTTAACTGTTCCGTTGACCGAAGTTTCGCTGAATGATTGATCGAGACTAAAGCAAAGCACAAAGTGTTCTCTGGGTACAAAAACCACGGAAAGACTGGCGCTAGGTTTCGACGGAAAGTTAGTACTGATAACCATCAAATGGATGGTTCGTTTTTTTGCATTATTAGGCTCTTCAATGAATGAGCGCTCTGGACATCAGTTGGGAAACTATTTGAGCTATCCTAGGTCCTAGGGCATTTCGAAATACAACACATATTCCTGTTTCAAATTTAATGTTGAAGCCACTATTGGTGATGATAATATTCTTAAATGCATGTTTCTTTGTTGTGTCATTTGTTTTAATTACRTGTGCACTGTGCTTCATTTTCTCCTTTCTTGATGGGATTCCGCCGCTGTTTTGTCAGTGACACCGCATGTGTGATAGTTTCATTCTTGTCAAATTGATGATGAAAACAAACTTTTAAAAATTGATGTTTCCTTAAAAGGAATGCTGATACTTTCACCACTTCTTGATCAATTTGTWTAGTTTTTGAAAATTAAGCACATTATATTTGCAAAGGTTTGTTTTATAGGAGTCCATGATGCAAGAGTGATATTCTGCTTGAATTGACTTTTGATTMTTTGGAAACATGTGAAGGAGGTAGTGACACACCAATTGTTCTTTGTGTTCCTTTCATCATGTTTGTGAAGAAACTACTACTGATGAAGGTAACTAGTAGCTATAGTATTTGCCTGCTTTATTGCTCCCTACTTTGCAAACAACACACATCATTCTATATCCATCAATAGTAGTCTGCCACATRGATACTCTTGAGCACAAGAACAATATTCCTCTCATCTATATCTGTTCATTAGTTGTTGGGGACCAAGTCTTATTTGAATCATATGTTGAATCCCACTTAGTAGTATACTATTGACTGAAACTACATTCTTTGTGTACAAGTTGTTGTTTAGTACCTACCACTAGTACTGGTGGTACTAGAATTAACACATGCAAAATATGGCATGAAAATTACACACTTCTTTTGTGACTTTCTTCACTTTGGTAAATYAATTGTAATGCTTTGACTATCAGGGCCTCATTGGATCTATGAACTATTCTTCTTGTTAAATGGAAACATGSGTAACTTCTGGTGATACAATGTTCTGCTGGCAATGRTTACTTTTGTTCAAGTCAACCAACTATGTGCCCCATAGTAGACTAATGGGATTGTCTAATGTTCTTGCCCAACAACAGTGAACTGTATTAGGGCTGTCATCCCACTATTATCAAAGTATCATTGYCACCTTGCAAGTTGGGATGAAGGGCATATATGAATTACTTGAGGAGTGTCCAGGCCCTTCAGTAGTACAGTGAAAAGCATTCAACTGCACTGGTTTTGGCCATAAATGAGAGAACTCTGGCTTTCCTTGGTTTGTGGAGTGATGGACTTTCTTTTCGCGGCATGACATCACCAGGAATTATCTGTTGATTCCATAATTTTGATTGCCAAGGCACTATTGTATAGAGTGGGCACCCAAATCTATACACCAKTTGTAGCTTTTGGGCCCTTACTTTTGGTTGTAATGACTAGTTTGACTAAAAAAAATAAATATGTACATAATGCATGTGCTTAGTAGTCGTAGTGTTAAATTTTTGAATCCCACCAGTTTTAAGACCAAGAAATAGTTTCATGTGCACAACATGCGTAATGGACAATTTTGGCTTGAGACACATGCAAATTGCTGGTTAGTAGTTTCTCCCCAAAAGCAAAAAAGAAAAAACAGGGAGAGGTACTCTGGTATGATCAATAGTACTCTTTTATACCATCTGCTTCATACAACCACATAAGCTGTAGCAYAAGTTGCACAGTGTTCTTAATGAGCACTTGGTTGTAAAATAGCCATGTAGTACTCCACTGCCATTGGAGATGTCCTTCTTTTGTAATAGTACAACTAGTAATGYTACTGCTACAAGTAATAGTAGTGATACTAGTGGTACTAGTAGTATGTCATGGAGCTGATTTGCCTTTGTTGTGTACACTTATCCTTCTTTTTGTCCCTGCCGTCCCCTTTCAGCAATAGAGATGCCCTTTCCTCCATGTTCTCCTCTTTTTCTTTGTTATTGTGATGAACAGAGATATGTCTGCAGTTTTCTTCATGGCCTACTGCTACTACTACCACTACTACCACTACTACCACTGCCAGCACTACCAGCAATTCCAGCAATACTAGTAGTACTAGTAGTAGGAACAACAACATCCTTTTCCTCAATGAGTGCCTCAGAAATGGAGATTATTCCTGAAGGAAAAGTATCAGTCTGACTACAATTTCAGCAGAAAAAACTGACTGGAACTTGGTACCCCTAATAGCCTTGCTTAGTTGTGCCTCCATCTCATCTCATCAGGAGAGAGAGGTGCTGCCCCTTGGAGCAGCTAGTAGTATGAKCAGTCTTCTTCCCACCAAAAATTTTGATTCTGCCAACTTCACACTATTTTTAGTAACCTTGTTCTTAAGTATGTGATATAGGGTGSCAGCAAAACACAGCAGCAAGATGCACAAACAGGGAACTTGTTCCTGGGACAACAAAAAAGGGTGTGTCAAATGAGAAGTAGATTGATTGATAATCTTTGTTCCAATCAAAATGACAGGACTGGTCAGAGCTAGGGGGGATGCATTTGCTAGTATAATCCTTGTGTTTGTTTTGAGGTCCCAAAGCCTCCTGTTTCCCCTCCTTCTAGAGAATTCTCCAACATGGACACAGACATAGACTCCTATGCCCAGTACCACATCAAGCAAACTCCCCTGCAGAGGGCAACTCTCAGACAGGAAATCCACAGTGGTCTGTTTCTCCTCTCTTATGATTGCAGACAAGAAAAAGTGTCTAAAACCAGACTCACACATGAACTCTTCCCTAGCAGTAGTAGCACTACTAGTAATACTACTCCTGTACCATGCCAAGTGAATTTCCACATTTGTTTTTTTGATTTTGTGTGTTATGTGTGTGTGACATCTTGCTCCATTTGCAAAATGTTCATTATTGATGAAAAAAAACAAGTATGGTTTAGGAAAATAGAAGAAGAATATAGCCTGAAAATTGTGTTCAGTATTSGCTACAGTGCACTGGAATACCACTATTATTTCCGCAAAGTAGCCATTGACCTTGAAGAATTCTCACTGCTCTCCTGGGCTGGAGGACTTCCAATAGAGAAGAAAAAACTGTTTTTTGTGTGTATCATATAGGGTCCTCACCTACTCAAAAAAACACAATCCAGTCATACATTAGGAATGCTRTATATTTGTACATGTATATCAATAAATACCACTAGGACCCCCAACTCCCCATGTGACTAGAATCCTGCTTAAATTTGCTCTCCATTCATGGGCTTACCATATTTAAGTGTCCATTGGGGACCAAGATACAGCTYAAACTGTCAGTTCAGGACTAAAACAGCAATTATACAATTAAATTATACAATGCATGGATTTTGGGCCATCTTTTTACCATGTAATGACTGATGGGATTAAAAATTTGTAGCCATAGTAGCACGTGTTAAAGTAGGAATAGCAAAACTATTTGGTCCCAAGACTGAAAGTATTTGGTCCCAAGACTGGTGGGAATAAAATTCAGCACGTACCCCACTGTAAAGTGCAGTACAAGCCAGGTTTTTAGTCAAAGTAGTCATTATATGCAAAACAAGGGCTGGTAATCTACGACTGGATTGTAGATTTTCTGGCCAAGCCTATACAATAATCCATGTAGGCCTCAGTGCCCCAAAATTGCAAATAATTTTGTATGTCGAAAAAAACAGATAATTAATTTTTAACAAAAACTTTGAGTCATTATTGTGACACCAATCAGTAATTCCAATATTTAAGACCAGMTTGCTCCCAAGACTCAAAAAAGTCAGTTGTATTTGTGATTGGTCATTTCAAGATTAAGAGAAACAAATWGCTTCCAAGACTCAAATAAATCCTCAGTCATATTTGCAATCAGTAATTCCAAAATGTAAGAAGATTGAAATCCTCCCAAGACTCAAAATTTAATCATCATTGTGATCAGTCAGTCTGGCATTAAAAAGAAGCCAACAACAACAAGAATTATGGGCAGCTTTTGCTATGGTTACAACAGGCACAATGCACCAACTTCTGGGGCCATGTTAGACAAGTTTGAGTCCTACAAGAAATATTGCCAGCATTTCCTCTCCAAGAAGTTGGGGAGCAGCAATGTAGGAGAGCATAGCAATGCCAGCAACACCATAATTGACAGCCTCTACAATAACATTTAGCTGCCAGCAAATGGGACAACAACAACWACTASTAGTAGTACATCAACRAGGAGTCATTGTCATGATTGGTYACTCCTCCAAAATCAAACTGGTGGTTATTTTTAAATSAAAGGGAATCACATTCCCAAGACTTGATAAATTTGACTTGTCTCAACATGACACCTTCAAAAATATAAATAACAGATTACCAGATCACACTAGTATTGCTGTGATGAAGAAGGCTTCAAACCTAAAACTACAGATTGACAGAACAAGAACATACAGGAGAGACATACCATGATATTATCAGAAATAATGCTTATTAGTAACTTCTACATCAGATGCTGACATTGTTGCAGAAGGAACCAAACCTACCAAAAGGATAAGTTCAGTGCTTAAATTGCATGTCAGTAGCAGACCTGGTGTCATGGTTGATGACAACACATTGATGTTGAAAAATGAGAAGCAAATCATAGAGTTATTTGTTGTACACTCAAGTCTGTCAAACTGAAAAATGGGTACCAGGATTGTGAAAGTATCAACATTAATGGATATTTTGTTTGTTGATCAACATTAATGGATATTTTGTTTGATAGATAGAGAAGGCCCTTGAAGAAGAAGGCAACTCAAAAATACTGCATCAACAGCTAAATTTTGATGTCCACAAGAACATGAATAAAACATTACTACCCATCAAACTCAAAGAAGTCACAAAGGAACACAACAGATTCAATTCCAAATCAATATTGCCAATACAAGCACTGTTCACAAATTAGTATAGGGAAGATCTTTGGAAAATGCTATGTTGGTCAAGTTGGTCTTACACAAGCAATTGGATTTCTTGTGTTCTTGTTGTTGTTGTGCTTTCAACAAGAGTTACTTTGAATTTCTAGTAGTAGTACTACTACTAGGCTAGCACTACTACTACTAGTAGTAGTAGTGCTGGTCTGTTTGTGGTACTACCACTACTAGTAGTAGTAGTGCTGGTCTATTTGCAGTAAGAACACCTCTTCTTCTTCTTGTTCTCCTTACAAAAAACACCACCACCAACAAGAAGAACTACAACAATGCCCAACATACTACTACACAAGAACAAATCAATGAATTCAATTTCATTCCTAGTACTAGTATTTCAGAAACAACAACAAACAGCCACAGTGCTTTCATTGATTACTAGTAGCTTTTACATTCTTTTCAGAGCAGTGCTTTCCACCTTAGTCACATTAACTTAGTTTTTGCACCATAGAAACTACTAGTAGTATTATTTGAGTCAGCTAGCCAATGAGGGGTACTGTACCATTACGCATGTCCCAAATCCCAAAAGTGGACTAGCCTACTACCGTATGATACATGATACATGGTGATGTTTTCGGTTCACACGTGATTTGACCAGTTCCGTGACTCAGAAAATGCCCTCTCTCCATTTTCGACGCCACACCTTCAYTTTTCTCGTTCCAACAACTTGTCGCAGTTTAAGTCGTCATCGTCCATTATTTAATACAAGCTTCTTATTCCAAACAAAACCAACCGCCTTGCTGTGCATCGACTCGCATCTAAAATGAGCTCGAGGGCATCAGTATTCCGATCCATTGTTCGCAGCAGAAAGACTTGTCGGCGATTCCAACCGGGTCGCCGCATTCCCGAGAAAGTGAAAGAGGACGTCCTCCAATCCACGTTGGTGCGTTTCTGAATCGTATCCGAAACTCTCGGATCCGTCCGGCGCATATTCATATGCGCACTTCAGAACTATCCATTAACTTTCTGTTGATTCTGTTACATRTTGTTTTATCCACAGAGATCGCCATCGAGCTTCAACCTACAACCATCCCAGATTATTCTCGTTGAATCACAAAATGTGAAGGACGCCTTGAGCGAGGACGCAATGATGGGAATCGGAAACCAGTTCCGAGYACAACAAGCCAGTGCGGTCGCCGTCTTTCTTTCCGATCTAGAGCCAACAAAACGAGTGAACCGAATCCACAAACTGGAAAAGGACTATCGCCACCCGAACTACCGCGCTTCGTTTCCTCTAGCAACTTCTTTTCTGATTGGAGAAGGCCACGCTGCAAATCTGATCAAGGGAATCGCTACAGACTTGCTCAGTACGGTTCAGCCCATGCCAGAGATCGACCCRGTCCAATCTTGGGCCTACAAAAACACTGGGCTGTTGGCCCAAACCTACGGTAAGAAAACGATAGTTGAACGGCAGAGTAGATTCTTTTTTATTCTTTCGTAATCTTGCAGTTTTCCTGTTCAAATAACTGAAGAATTTTGCTCGGATTCTGTCTCAAACGGTTCATTAGTCTACGCATCGGAATCTCACGACCTTGCAACTGCAATAATGGAAGGTTTCGATCCGAGGAGGGCTCGAGAAATCCTCCGCATTCCAGATAGGTACGCCATTCCACTGATGGTAGCAACCGGGTACGAGTACGAAGATGAACAAAGTAAAGAAGAAAAACCAACGCCTAGATTAGATTTGTCTGAGGTTGTATTCGCGGATACTTTTGGRGATRCATGGGYACCTGGTATGACTGACGGTGATCACGATGGGAACGACGAGGAAGTTGACAAGCCAGCATCGGTGTAACGTATCGATGTTCACAAACGTGCCTCGCTCTGCTACACTTTTCAATAAACTCCATGGCGTCCGATAAAGCACAGGGACCAGTAGTCAGGAAGAATGGATTATGTTACTCAAGCGAACAACGAATAGGTTTGAAACGGTTGAGTTGAGTTGATTGGTTCGTCGATTACCTACCCCCTCCCAGAAGTTAAAAAGGTACCTTGCGTATGTTGCCCCTCCTAGTAACATAGATTTTTAACGTGTGAACTACGGGAGCTGTGACTTCTAAATCCCGGACCGCAAAATTCAAAAACATGTGTTTCAAGTCCTTGTTCGACTCCAAGCGCTATTTTATGCAGGTGCAGCATCACTTCAAAATCTGGAAAATTCTCTAATCTAACGAACGGCACTCTTCATTTTAAAAATCAAATCCACAACAAATTTGAATTCATTCAAAACGAGTACGATAGGAGTTGTATAGGTACGCCACTCTGCCGCATTCGACGAGGAGAGACAGGTGGCTGAACACGAGGAAAAAATCATACAACAYMGCATCGACACAAAAGAGAACAAGTCGATGCATGGTACATGTTGCTAGCTGCAGCCAAACGAGTACTATTCACTGCTTTCCATAGGCCAAAACTAYTTATCACCACAGTTGTAACCAAGGAAATTAGGCATTACTTGTTACAATGAATTCTACAATGGCACGATGGAGTTCGATTACTAGAGCGCTATTTCTGGTGCTCTTTGCTAGCATCGAAGCAACAGCTCGCACCGAGGCAGTAACGTCTTCAAGGAATATCATGTGGCTTGATAGACCTTCCACACTAAATTTGTTGAGGGGTAGTAGAATGTTGGGAGATCGCACAATCACAACCCCCAACTGCGATGTGGTTCGCACTGCGCCATATCCCGCCGAACTCCAGCTTTTTTAYACTTACTCCGTTGAAATCAACGATGACATACTACTCAGTGATATGGAACGTGCAATGGAAAATGCCGTGGCGATAGAATTGGATATGTGCGATGTGGAAGGCCGCCCGGTGTACAAAGTCAAAACAGGCGTAAGACATTCTTTTTCTACTTCGGGTATGTTAAGGATGATGTGGTCTGGAATATTGTTCGTAGTCTTACGCGGTTCGAAGCTGTTATCCTCACGAACACTCGTGTCGCTCGTACTCTATTTCACAGGAAAGTGTGATCCTATCGTCGACGGAAATACCTGTATTGTGGTGAATGGCGAAACAGCAGTTTTTCTAGATACGAGCTCTGACGCTAATTTTGTTCGAAATAGAGCGCACATAGGAATACTACATGGATTGGGTGATTCGAGTTTCTTAGATGGATTTTCAAATTCGGTGGTTTCAGCTGCTTTGATTTCGGAGGGACACGCTTCACTGGTTGAAACCTCGGATTCCCATTACGAGAGCTTTGACAGAAGGACAGGCTCTTATTCGAGTATTACCACAACTGTAGCCGTCGCAGCTGCTTCTGTTACGATTGTTGTCGCTTCTATCTTCTTCTACGGTTTTTTGCGCAGAGGTGCCTCTGATAACCCAAGTGTGCGACATCGGAAGAATCGTTCGTTGCGAAAGTCCAGTCCAAGAACGATTGTATCAGGTTCTCATCTTAGCGTTCCTATCCGCCGTCACTTCGTTCGATTGGAAGACATGACTGCATCTCCCACTTCCTTTATCACGAACACCAACGCCTCACCHCAGAGTAGCCCAAACAAATGTGTACCGGAATACATAGAGGAAGAATACGATCACCACGATGATTGCGACTCAGAAGACTATCCAAATGTCAACTGGAGTGTCTCTGACATTACGTGTGACTCCGTATCGCTTCGCTCATCAGTCTCTCGAACACCAAGTACGCTCGAAAGAATCGAGGAGGAGATCGAAGATGACGAGAAAACGCTCGTAGATAGYGACCGTGACGATAACAGTTGCAACTTTTCCTACTCCGAAGACTCGACAATGATTACGAACTCTTCGTCAAAGGCTGGAGAAATGGATCCGAAGAACCGGAGCGGCGACGGTAACATGAGCCATAACAACACGAACGTAGCAGAATTCGATTGTGCAAGCGAAAGGCGAGATCGCCTTTTGGACCTTTCTGACCTTGATGCCTGTTTCACCATCCTCCCTGGATCGAACGAAGAYGTTTTCTGTGATCTAGATGATTTATCGAGCGAAGGCTCGGACGAAAGTATGCTTGAAAGCAGTCTATTGGAYATGGAAATGTCGTTAGAAGAGAGTGACGAATGCTCGTTACAAGCCAGCGTGAGTGATACTTCGGTAGTTTCCATGGTTCCTCTTAGTGACTTGATACAACGTGATYTCGTCGAGGATAGCGTCGATGATCTATCAATGGAACATGCTAATTCTCAGGACATCATGTACAAGTACTCATACAACAATCCGAAGCATTCCGTTTGCAGGAATCTCACACCACTCTCATCCATATCAGTTGACGACAGCTTGGTTTCTACTATACTAGAGATGCAAGTGTTTTCGGAGCAGGAAGTTTATGAGTCATCMTCTCCTGTAAAGTGTGTGAACGGTAATCTAGCTGTTTCAGACTCGAAGGTGAAGGGCAACACGGAAGTTGATGCAATGTCAGTCACGTCACGTTCAAAATCAATGAATGCGGAAGATGATTTCCCTACTGTTGTTAATGATGACAGTTCGGAATCAGTTTGCGATGTTCAKTTAAATTTGGAAAATAAATCAAGATCGCTAGAAGATGCTTCCTTTGCTTTTAGTTCTGGTGATACACCACAAGATATTTTGTCATCTTTGCAACGACACGAATGGTTCGAAAGTGACATGAAMGTTACGGATACCCCAGCTCAGAACGAGAACACAGATTTGAGTTTGCATTATTGCATTGGTGAAGAGCAAATACAGAGTATCGATTCTTCTTGCGAAGGAATCAGCAATGAACAAACCAGTGACTTTCACCCAGTGGATAATATTAATGAGGTGGTTCAAGAGCAAGCGTAAGCAGATAGCTATATTCACCATGCGATAGTTTGATAGCTCTGTCAAGCACAACGACACTCATGTTCACAGGAATTCTAGTGGCTCGATTTAACAATTATTAATGGTTTTTACTTTGATCTTAGCTGTCAAGATTACAAGTGTGATGTAATATTTCACTACACATACACGCTGGAAAATACCAGACTGGTGCAATTATTTTTAGGGTATTATCTTCAGTGCTGCAAGTCACTCAGGAAAGATAGTGGGTAAGAAGTAGGATGGATATATTTGTAGTGCTCTACAATTGTAAAGTAATCCCACATGGAAAACAAASCCTTTCAGTACTAATTCTAGCAGTACAACCAACTATCATACTGAAAACTCTGCTGTTCTTCTAGTTCAGAGCTGATCTTCTTAGTACCAGCATATGAAAACAATAAGTTTAAGATGGTGCAAATTCATCTGCAGCAGAGTAYGCTAAGGCAAAAAAGTAGTCTGATTATCTGTTTGTAAAACTTGATGTTCTTGGTCAGAACCAAAAGTCAATAAYACTCCAGGGCAGCAAATTAGCTATTTCTACAAGATGATGTTTACTAGTAGCACTTCAAAGATTCTTGTTCTTAGTAGAATAATGAGTTTGAGAAGAACAACAGATCATTGTTCCACAAGTATGAACATGTTGGGGAGACAGAGACCTAGACTTTGTAGATCAAAATGGTCAACAATGCTACAAGTATGCTCTCCACAGTCAGGTCATAGKAGTTCACTACTGAAGGACAACATTGTTCTTGTTGTTTGTTCTTGTTGAAGRCAAAGGTCCATGATGACACCACCAGATCATGAGGACAATTTTTCTGATGGTTTTGTTGTGAAGACTGATTGTTGGTGGAATAATGTGAACTACTAGTACTA